ATGCTTACCAGCGCATTTGACACATCTGGGTTCTTTTGAGCAGTAATTTCTTGTGTGACCGAATGACTGGCACTTTTTACATTGAGGTATTTGTTTAGGGGCTCGTATTGGTTCAATTTTGACCACCGTATTTAATATATATTTGATTTTATAAATGTTATTAATATCTTCAGATTCTTCAAAGGCAAGTGAGAACATGTCTAGTGGTTCTTTTGTTCTATATTTGAGTTTATTTTGAACTTCTATAACTTTGAAACCTTGAGCTATAAGATCATTTTTTATCTCGTCTGGGTTGAAAGAGTGGTGGAGATTTTTAGCTAGGACTCTAATAGGCCTATTTTGTTTGTCCTCATATGAGTGCCAAGGAATATTTGATTCATTTAGTACTTTAGTTATATTTCGATAATCATTGCTGTTAAACGTATTTAATTTGTACTTGTTACTTAAGAGTTTTATTGCGAAACCCTCTTGTATGTTTGATTTTATCATATTATACAGATCATTGAAATTATTTACGACGCTTATCATTATTGGAGGAGGGCGTTGTATTTTCATTGCGGGTGTTAATTTACCTTGATTTTCACTATCATTATTTTTGGTTTTCATTTCCGCTTGATTTTCAACTATTGGCGATGAATCAGCTTTACGCTTCTTATTAGCTCTCTTATTTCGCTTACTTTTTTGAACTATCCAATCCGTTTCTTTAGCTAGTTCTTCTTCATCAGTTTCATAAACTTGATTTGATTGAGATTCTTTGGAGCCTGATGGTTTTTGTTTATAACATTCTCTCAATAATTCATTATCTTGTTGCAACTGCAAACATACCATTTCTAAATATTTGATTCTTTCAAGAAGTTCTAAATTAGTTTTTTCAAGCAATTTCATTTTTGAAACTCTGAAATTGCTTAAACTATTTCTTGGTGTTTCTATGTTATCCATTTCCAACTGGGGTCTTTTTATTTTGTTTGTGTCGATAATGCAGTTGGTAGCACTTTTATTTACCAGTATTTGCGTGAGCAAAACAGCTGGTGTGTTTATAATTGTTTATTTTGTTTTGGATTTTTGTTGTATTTACTGTCTCTATCAGTTAAAAAATCGCTTATATTTTTTATAAAATAAAATTTTGGAAAATATTTTTTTAATAAAAACATGGCAATTGGAGTACACATCAATAAACGACAATGTACACAGATTCCGGGTAATTACCGCTACCGTCCAATATCATTGGCGACACGTGAGTTATTTTAATTTTTCGAGTTTTAATTATTTGTCTTGGAGCAATACCGATACACGTCTACTTGCAACAAATAATGAAGTAAAATTTAAAATGAGATTTGCTTTTTTATAGTGAAACTTGTATGTTGAATATTACATATTTTAGCAATTTATTAATGAATAACTGATTTTTAGAAAGTTGCTTTATATGGAGGCTATATGGGGCGATTCTCATAAAATTAGAAGAAGGGATTTATGATTATTTACATATGTCAGTTATTTATGGTGAAAACCAATTTCACATGCAGAGAAAAAACATGGTTAGTACAACTATTCTATGTTTTTTGTAACAATATTTTGTTGTCATAACCAAATAATTGTTATTTTTTATTGAATTCCATCAAAATTTTAGTTACTGTAATCATTTATATGCTTTTGACAATTATAAATTTGAGAATGATTCTCTGAAAAATATTTATTTTTACAACATTATTTATGATAACTAAGTAAACATATTATGTTATTTAGAACCGTTTAAACTTTCAAATAACCATAAAATGGTAGGTTTTTACATGTAATGGGTAGTAGTTATTTCCTAGGTTATAAAGTAATGAGTGATACATATTAATCTCATTATTTCAAATACAATAATAATTAGTTGCTTGTAATGATCTAAATATGTACTTATATATATTGTTACCTACAAGATTCAAATAAGTACTTGCATGTAATAGGTGTAATAACTACTTATTTTAGTAATTAAACTACTTACTTTAAATAAAGTTGAGTCTAACATTTATAGTTTCCCAAATATATGTACATACCCAGCAAAAAATCTGAAATTTTTGGTAATAGCCAGTAGTTATTTCATATATTACTTGGTAATGAGTGTTCATTATCATCCACATTATTTCATTTAGCTGAATAGGTTATTACTGGTAAAGAACAAAACAATTGGGATTTGTTATGGCTCAATTGTCTAGGTCGTTCATTTAACAAACAGGGGGTTCGTGGTTCGAGCCCTGCTGGATACTGTTTATTTTTTTTTTTCAAAATGACATTCATTTATATATTTTTGCAAAAAGCCGTTCTCAAAATTACAAAAAGCAACATGTTAATGGAGCATCGAGTAAGCGGCTGGAGTGAGAAACATAGAAAACAACTGAATGCCTGGGTTCAAATCCCGGCAGAGGAATTTTTTTATTTTTTGTTTTCTACATACAAAGTCGGCCCAAAATAACTAGCTATACCATAACATATTTGTAGGTTTATTTGTAACTAGTTATTTCGCAAAGTTTTTGTAATCAAATTAGTAACCAATTATTAATTTGTTTAAGGTAGGTACCTATTATTTGAACCTCGTCGAACAAAAATAATTAGTTATTCACCCCAAAAGTAATTAGTTTCCACGTGACTCCAATATTACTTTCTAGATTACTAGGTAATGAAAATTTTTGCTGGGTATATTGCTGATTGCAGATATCTATATTGTTGAACCGCCATTTTTTATAGTTTTCTGGGTTACCGTGGCCTAAATATAATTGGTTTGTTTTTATAATGTGCGAACGATCAAACATCTAACTTTTAGCATTATTTAATGAATTTCTTACATATTTCTTTTTGTTATTGATTAGTGTCTAAAACTAACTGATGTAAAATTTTAGCCCAATCGCAAAACGGGAACCCATGCCGGAAATTGATTGAAACGTATTAAATTTCGTTAGCAATAGGACTTTTTTCATTTCTTCAAAAATTGTAATGGTACAATTACATTTTCTTAACATTTCGACTAAACCTTATATTTTATAGAAAATTATCAAACGAGATATAATAAAATAAAATCCATACAAACAAAATCGGTATTTTTTGACCACCTCTAATGTACATATTTGTATTTTCTTGGTAAAAATAAAAAAACTTAACGAATTGAACTTATTTTGTCATTCTATCTTGATACGATAAATCTTATATTCTTCATTCGTTCCCAGCGAAAAATCTGGATTTTTTGTAAAGAAAAGTAGTTATTTCATGCATTACTTGGTAATGAGTAGTCATTATCAACCATATTATTTTAATTATCTGAATATATACTTACGGATATAGAGCAAAGTAATTTGGAAATGTTATAGCCGAATTGTCTAGCGCGTCTATTTAACAAGCAAGAGGTTGGTGGTTCGAGCCCTGCTTGATTAAAATACTTTTTTTAATGACATTGATTTATACTTTTGTAAACCTGTTCATAAAGTTACAATAAAACAAGTAGTTAATGGACCATTGGGCAAACAGCTGGATTAAGAAACACTGACAATTTCCCCGGCAGGGCAAAATTTTATTTTATTTTGTAATTACGATCAGAATATGAATAAATAACTAGTTATTCCCCCCAAAAGTAAGTAGTTTCTACTTGTTTCCAATATTACTTTCTGGCTTACCAGGTATGTATTTTGCTGGGTTATAACCATGGTAGGTAAAAATATCGCTCGCGATCGCTATTTTATTTATATCGCTCGTTTTAAAATTCAAAATCGCGAGTTTTATTTTTCAACACGCGAGCACAATTTTAATTAGAGTTTTATGTGTTTTGTATTCGCTTCGTAAGCGATATTTACATGTTTTTGTTTTTTCAACTCGCTTACGAGCGAGTGGAAAACGAGTTGAATTCGAGTTAAATTCGAGCCGAAAATCAGCAAAGTGTGTGTGCAAGAAACAGGTTCTGTTGTGGTAGTAAAAAAGAACCATTAATATGGGAAATAATTATGTATGTGTGATTGTGTAGCCGTAGGTTTTATGACGGTCTGACAAAGCAAAAGTGGGAAAGTATAAGAAATATATTGTCTACCTTTTTATTTAAATGTGTATGTTTTTTATCTGTAGTAATGTATGTACATATGTATATTGATGGACATGCAAGTGATCTTCATCATTTTCTTTCTTACAAATATATTGAAAACAACAAATAAATTAAAAATTTTGTTTTTGTTTTCAATATATTTAAAAGAAAGAAAATGTTGTCGATATTGTGAAACAGGCAGTTAGATTATTGATTGTGAATCAAATGGTTTGGAAAATTTTATTATGAAGATAATAAAACACGTGTTGAATGATGTATGTATGTATGTATGTATGTATGTATGTATGTATGTATGTATGTATGTATGTATGTATGTATGTATGTATGTATGTATGTATGTATGTATGTATGTATGTATGTATGTATGTATGTATGTATGTATGTATGTTTGTATGTATGTATGTATGTATGTATGTATGTATGTACGAAGTGTCTCCTACTTTGCAGCAAATAATGTACGTACATATGTATTTGTGTACATAATTTTAATGGGAAACTTATTTGGTTATGTCATATTTATATATAAATTGATTATGCCTTATAAATTTAAATTTATTCCATTTACAAAATTATAAAACTCGCGATTAACTCTTTTTGACTCGAATCGCGAGCGAGTTCTATTTTACGCTCTTTAAATTTTCAACTCTTATCGCGAGTTTAAAAATTAAACTCGCGAGTCGAATAGATTTATTCGCCGGAAAATTAATTATTTAAATCGCTCGAATTAAACTCGCTCGCGAGCGAATTGAATTCGATCGCTATCTGTACCCTGGTTATAACAATGTTCAAACAATAGTTTATGATGCTTTGCAAATAATGTCAGGGTAGAATTTAATTTATTTCTAAAAATTTCATTCTTATTATTGAATATACATATATACATACACACATACCGTTAATTTTCTAAACACGACTTTCTCTTAATATATTGCAGGTCATGAAGTCATTAGAGCCTCATGTAAATGTAGTACGATTTTTGGGTTGTTGTACTGACAAGGATCCAATATTTGTGATTATCGAATACGTAAATCGTGGTAAACTACAAACGTATCTAAGAAGTTCAAGAGCTGAGCGGTAAGAATGTTATAATTACCTAATATCAATACATACATATCTATAAAATAATTATTTTAATTTTAAGCATTAATATTAAGTTAATTTTTCTAATTGTATATTTACGGTTCTTTATTTACGATTACATAATATAAACACATACATACATATGTATGTATGTAAGAGCACTTTTAGCTGAGGGGACATGTCGCAGGGTTTTTTCCCAATTCTCTTTTAAATGCCCTTCGTAAAATAATGAACGTTTAGATGGAGACTCAAAAGGCGTGCGACATTTGTTTGTTAGTGTTGCCATATTTAGGGTTATTAAATGTTGTTTCCATTATTTTGTTTAACAAAAAATATGTTTATATTTAAAATATTTGCTAATTAAATATTGTGTTAAATATGTTTAACAAATATATGTACTTGAATAAATTAAAAAATTTTGGCGAAATAACACTCAATTGATTTTTAAATTATGTATGAGTTTAGCTGAGAAATATTTCTATAGTTATTTATTTAATAATTTATATTTAAAAAAAAAATAACTAAAATTTAACAAGCAAATATTTGAAATGTTTATTATTTTTTAAATGAAATTTAAATAAAATTAAAAATATTGCAAGTTGCACACTGATTCATGCATTAGAGTGATCGCACACGATCTTCACTCTTTGACTGCAGAATAAAAATAAAGCAACTGCCAAAAATACGAACGCGTAACAAAAGAGATACTAAAAATACCCCTCAAAATACGATTCGTGCGTCTTTTGCTACTTCCTTTCTTCCTTACCCCCTTTATCTATAAACTCGTGTCGCACGTTGCTGTTCCCTCAGCTAAAAGTGCTCTAAGTATTTGTTGTTGTTTTTTTTAGTAAATTGTTTATTTCGTTACATATGTATTTACAATGTTGTTTCCCTTTTCAGGCACTACGGCAATACACATGGCAAATCGAATATCCTGACGTCAGGTGACCTGACATCATTTATGTATCAAGTTGCGAAGGGAATGGATTATCTAACATCTCGAGGGGTATGTTAACGAATTATAGAAAAATAAAAGGTTTTTTATGAATGAGGTTAATTGACTATTTGGCGTTTTATTAAACAGGTTTAAATTTTTTTCAATTGCTTTATTTTTAATAACCTAGCCGATATAGGATAAAATCGGTAATATGTACATAAATTTTACTTATTAAAAGTTATATTTCTGCCTATAAAAGTAGTTGAAATTAAAATAAGTAGATTCGTGCAATAATTTGTTTAATTGACTAAAATTAGGTATAAGCAATTAATTCTAAATTTTCTATAGTTTTTGCTTATAGTCATAACCATTAGTTGCACACAAATTGTAGACTATGTATATCGCTAAAGTGACTACAAGCTAAATTTTCTTATTTGCCAAATTGTGCTTACAAAGATATTCACCTAAATATATTCAATTATTGTGAATATAAATATAAAAAGTTTATGAAAGAAATAAATAAAGTTTTCACAAGTTTTTTTAAATTTTAAAATACTGATTGAAATTATTATTTAAAAAATCATCCATTTTAGCCTATTTTCGCTTGGGGATATTATTTATCCCCTCATTTTCCGTTACTTCAGTTTAGTGAATCTAAAATTTCTTCATCGATCATAACACCATATCTAAAATTTTTTTGTAGGTTTATTACCATTAAATTATTAGGTTTGCATTTTATTTTAAAGGATTCGTAATGAACACAGAATAAAATTAAGTACATACAGTACTTTAGAAGAATTCTAGAGACTAAACGATTACAGTTAATGTCATCATTTTTTCTAATTTAGATCATTCACAGAGATTTAGCAGCTCGGAATGTACTGATTGCAGATGATCATACATGCAAAGTGGCAGACTTTGGATTTGCACGTGATGTAATCACTTCCAAAGTTTATGAACGTAAAAGTGAAGGAAAATTGCCCATCAGGTAAGTTTATTAAAACTTAATTTTTTTCTTTTATTTAATATTTATAATTCAAATGCATAATTTTACAGCATTACTGCTGCGCTTGGCTTTAAAATATTAAATGCTGATTTTGTACAATTTAGTCAATAAAAATTTTATGAACATTACAAATATTACAGCAAAATTTTAAATGAAGTTCGTGTGTGCCAAACAATTACGAAATATTAAAATCCAAGAACTATTAAAAAATATGAATGCATATAAAAGATTTTTTTATAAAATAATAAAATAAAAAATTAAATTTTTAGCTCTATCGGTCAAGAACTGCCGGAATTAGGGGGTCAAAGTTGGACTTTTCACCTATTGGTCCTATATTTTTGTAAATTTATACAAATTTAAAACAAAATCATTTCAAGCCGACTTATTCAGTCAGTAAACTTATTATTTATTATGTGTATCAATAGGGAAGTCCATTAGTCAATGTACTAGTCCTTAAACTAGGCAATAACTTATTCTATAAACTAGAAGGCATACTAGTCTATACACTAGACAATAAACTAGTATATAGAGTAGTTTTTATACTAGTCCAAAGACTAATTCATGGAATAGTCCTCCCTAAGAATACTTTAAACGTATAGTTAAAGTAGTTTAAAAACTATATTTTGAACTAGTCAATATCTATGATCATTTATTGATTATACATTTAGTTACTAGACAGTCTATATTCTCTATATGGACTAGATTAGATTAGTATATTGCCTTGTCTATAAAATATTCCATATACTAGTACAAAAACTAGTCTAGTTAATAGACAAGAACATAGAAAAGTGATCGGGTAAAAAAATAATCTAAAAAAGTACGCTCTTTGGTAAATGTTGTTACTGCTTGTCTGGTTGTAATCTATTCGAGGATTCTTTACAATAGAAAAGAATATACATAAATAAGAATTGTAAGAATGTCCTTCTCTGAAGTTTCGTAAAAATTTGTGTTTAAAGTCCCTTTATTAAATTATTATTTCAATTAAGGAAAATATTTCAAATTATCCAAAAAAAAGTTCAAATTTACCAATCTGGCCAACCCTGGTACATACATTTATCTACATATCGCTCATTTACTACAAGACTAGCATAATCAAAAAAAAGTTAATTTTAGAACTGTTTCAAACTGTAAGAAGATCTAAAATTTCCAGCTAATGTTAAAAAAAAATATGTAATTTAAAGTATTTTAGTAGTGTTTTTTTATAAATTAATAAAATATATACTTAACAATTTAATACAATATATAATTTATTATACTATATTTAAAAATAAAGAAATTAATTCGATAAGATATTTAAAACAATACATTAAGAATTCTAAAAATGGTTACTCTCACACTATTAGCAGGAATGCCTTAAAAGTCACAATGTAAACATTTAAGATTTTACGAAGGCAAAAAATAGAAAAAGGCATGCCTGAAAAGTGACAATCTAAAACAGGGCTTAGAAAAAATAGACATTTTTGAAAATAGATAAAACTATATGAAATACTTTAAAATGGTCCATATTTTGAAATACACGGTTCAAAAAAAAAAAATTAATTTTGTATTATGGCAGTCTTGTAGTAAATGAACAATATGTACAGACTTTTATGTTATATGTATTTATAATTTAATTCTGAATATTGAAAATGATTCTTCAATTTGTTCGTATTTTGGCCATATTATTAGTATGTATGTACTTACATATATGTAATTTCTGATAATATTTTGCATTAAATCATTTTAAGATATTCATAAGATATTTTACTTATATGATATTGGATGATATATTTTAATACTAGAAGTCAAAACTGAACTACATACTTATTATTTCCCATATATTTTTAAAGATATGAATGTAATTAATAAGTTTACATATTCAATACAATTCTAGATGGATGGCAATTGAATCGCTTTACGATAATATATTTTCCGTAAAATCTGATATTTGGAGTTTCGGTATATTGATGTGGGAGATTGTAACACTTGGATCCACGCCATATCCTGGCATTTCAGCTTCTGATGTTATGCGCAAAGTAAATATTACTTATATACCTATTCAATACTAATTTTAAATAAATATTTCTAAAATTTATTCAAGGTTCGTGATGGTTATCGATTGGAGAAGCCGGAACATTGCAGAAGAGAACTCTATAACATCATGTACTACTGCTGGTCTCAGGATCCCAACGAACGACCTTCATTTGGAGAACTGGTAAAAATGCTTGATAAACTTCTGCATACAGAAATGGATTACATTGAATTAGAAAGATTTCCAGATCACAATTATTACAATATTGTTAGTTTAAGCGGTGAAAAAGTCTAAAGTATTCATTCAAGTGAATACAAAAATTAAAAAAAATATTGTTGTTTTCTTAAAAAAAGTTAAATATGTACCTCAGGATGTCTTTTTAATTATTCAAATATACACTGCCAGTAAAAATGCTCCATTTTCATTTTAATTTTTATCTTGAATTATTTATTTATTTAATTTTTAAATTTTATATTTATTGCTCTAAAACAGTCATAATTACATACATATCGCTCATTTACAACTAAAGGGTGTCAAATAAAAAACATAGTTTTTAGTATTATTTGTTAAATATGTATATATCTTTACAAAAATTGACACAGCTAAGTTTTCCAAATGTAGATATCATACTGCCGATTTTCGTAATGATCGGTTTATAATTAGCCATAGCCCCAATAAAAAATCCCCTTCCAGAAATTACTTCAACTCTCATAATTGACTTATAAATAAGTATTAGTATCGCTATATAACTCGATATAAATCAGTTTTATATTAAGAAAGTTTTATTTAATCGGTCTATATTTTAATCCGAATAAAAAAACCCTTTTAGAAAATCAGTTTTTATTCAATAAATAAATTCAGTAAATTCCGACATAAATTCGAATCAATTAAATCGTTATACATAATGTTAAAAAAAAAAACATTTTAAACAAACTTATAACTGTCACTTACTTGTTTTCTTCAAATGACTAACTTTTCCAAAATGGTTTGAAAGTATAAAAATATGTATTTATTGGAGTTTTTCGGAAAACTTAGAAAAAAATTTGTTCTAAAAAACAAACCAAAATGTCCTTAAAGACAAAACTTAAACTCTATTATATTTATGTATATAATTAATAAAAAAGCAGACTTTCCAAAAACTGTGTTTTTGAGTTGATGACACAACTGAGGTAAATGAGCGAGGTACTTTTTTCTTTGCATTAATTATTTTCATTTTAAAATCAATTGTTGTTGAAAAAATGCTTGTACATAGTTTTATTAATAATTTATATTTATATACAAACATAGTATATTATTATAGCATTACTAGAAATTAAATAAATATACATATGTACATTATTAAAGATAAATATTAACTAGCTTTTTATTTATAACTAGTTTACCCAGTATGATTTGCTACACTAAAAACCATATTCCCATATACATTTTTTTAGTTGTTATATATTCCCAGATATACGTCTTTGAGTATTTAATTTATATGGAACGTCCAGTATTTCTAGTCGACTTATTCTTAAACCAAATGTTCATATTGAAGCTAAAGCTACTTGTACAACAGTTCAGGTCTCGTACCTGTTGTGTCAAGTTGTTCTTGCAAAATTTGATTATTTTATATCTAATAGTTTCCCAGATATACGAAATTTAGTATTTTATTCTTATGGGGGTGTCACTCCCCCTATTGCTAATCCGCCATTTTATTACACTAATGTTCACATGGGGGTATCTCGCCCCCTTATTGTTACTTCGCTCATTTTTGTCTAAAATATTCATATTATTACTAAAGTGGCTCTCATAAAATGTGAGGACTCTAACTTATACATATTATATATTATATGTATATAGGAAGTGACACGCCCACTATAGCTAGTCTGTTATATTTTCTCAGATATACTGATTTAATATTTTCTTATTATGGGGGGATTGGAATGTGCCACGTCCACAATAGCCCATTTTGTCCACAAATATTCATATGGATGTCAAAGTTGTCCATAAAAAAATGTTAGTACTCTAGCTGTTTCAGTTTCTGAAATATGCGATTTTTAATACTTATTTTGTGTGTGGGCGTGGCTTCTCGCCTACTTGAAATTTTAAAGTAAAAAGTAGCCTATAACCTCTTCCCGACATACAGGAATACACTGTGAAAATTTCAAGAAAACCGGTGCAGCCGATTAGAAGTCTATAAACTTCAAAGATACAAACATACAAACACACATTCATTTTTATATATATAAATACAGATTCATGTGGGAGGTGCCAAGTTCCCCATTGAAAGTCCGCCCGTTATACCCTAAATGTACAGATGAATGTCAAGATTCTTCAAGTAAAATTTGAAGGTTCTAGCTCTAATAGTTCCTCAGATATACGAATTTTTCTATTTAACTCATATGGGGGCTTTAAGCCCCCCAGATGAAAGTTCACTTTTTGTTCCTCCAAAATGTTTAGATGAATATTTAAGTTCTTCGTGCAAAATTTGAAGAATTTAGTTCCATTAGTTTCCCAGATAAACGAATTTTTGTAATTAATTAATATAGGAGGTGCCCAAAATTACCCAAAATGTTTAAATGGATGTAAAAGTTATTCGTGCAAAATTTGAAGATTCTAACTGTAATAGTTTCCAAGATAAAATATTTTTTGTATTTAATTCATATGGGAGGTGCCACGCCCCCTAATTCTATTCCGTCTACCTTTTGCCCTACATAATCATATTGACACTAAAGTTGCTGCGACAAACTTTGAGGACTCTGTTATATGATCTCAAATATACGGATTTAATATTTTCTTAATATGGGCGTGGCTTCTCGCCCACTTGGAATTTCAAAATAAAAAGATGCTAAATATGCATTATCTGTTAAAACAATGATTTTTATTTTTTAAGATTTATTTAAAAAACTTAATTTTAATTGTGATTCTTTGAGTTTTATATATTACTCAGAAAATAATAATTTTTCTTAAGTATTATTTTTTTGTTCAAATCATAACGATTATGTTTGATTTTTATATTTATCATTGAAAAATAAAAATCAATTTTAAGTTTATTTTTTTTACTTGAAAAATAAAAGTTATTCTTGAGTTTTATTTATTTTTTTAAAAAATAAAACTCAATATGAAAACATTTTATATAAAATGTTTAGAGAAATTACTTTTTATAATATTACATGTCAATTTTAAGCTTTTCTTAAGACATTTTCAAAAAAAGGCAAATATGAATTTTAACTCTTCACTATCTAAAACGCATAGCTATGATAACTCTTTCACGTATACGGGACACCGGTGTCTAGCGCTTTGGTTTTGTGCGTGAAAGGGATAATATTGATATGTATAAAATTTTCAATATGGAATATGTGCGTCCAATATAAGGTTTAGTTTCCAATTCGAATTTTTATGTCTATGTCGAAGTTTTTTCAGATTGCATTAACACTCAGTTATGGGTAAATTATCTCTTTTTACACCCACCAATATTGGGGAAAAATGATTTTGTCATTTCGTTTGTAACTCATCGTAGTCGTAGACTCACAAAAGTTTATACAGACATACATATATTCTGGGTCCTTAAAATATTCTAAGACGATCTAGTCAAATACGAACGTCTGTCTGTTGGATGCACTGTATAGTGCAAACGGGAAAAGCAAGGATGCTGAAATTTATTTTGAAAAGTCCTTCCAGGATAAAGTTTGAACTCTTATAAATATGTTTATTATATTGCAATTGTGATCAAATAATATCCAAGAGTATAAGCAGTTCGAAATCACATGTAAAATGTGGCGAAAATTAGGTCTCATTTGAAAAGTTGAAAAAGTTAGTTTAACGCAGAGTTCGGTACGTAAATAACCTAAGTCCCATAAAAGGTACTCTTTCGAAAATCACCCTAATGCTCATATTATTTCGATATATGATAATATAGTACTGTGTTAATCCAATAAGTGAGTTAATCGTAATAAAGAATTCCGAATAGATAAATACACAATCATCTTCTTAAGACCTCCTTCCAAATTCACTTTAAGTTTATTTTTAGATTGTGGCAATACATATAAGATTCGGCTTGCCTGAATATAACACAACTACTTCTTTATAATGTTATAATAACATTTTAATCAAAATTTCATTTATATTTGTAAGAATATATTTTCATATTAAGTTTTATTTTTGAAGAAAATAATATAAAACTCAAGAATAACTTTTATTTTAGAAGCAAAAATATAAAACTTAAAAATGATTTTTATTTTCAGTGGAAAAAAACTCAAAAATTTTTACACTGTGTGACACTAAAAAAACACTCGTTACGCGATATAATGCTTTTTATAGACCTAGATGAGTAGATCATTTTACCATTTTTAGAATCTTCAATATACCCTAAAAATCGGAAGTTATTAGAAAAAAACGCTTTTTGTTGACTAGACAGACCAAAAAAAAATTATATCTCAAAATTTTCTTAACCGATTTAATTTAAAAAACGCTTTTTGTTGACTAGACAGACCAAAAAAAATTATATCTCAAAATTTTCTTAACCGATTTAATATATTTCAACTGTTTTGAAAAGAGTTTCCTTTGGCCTTTTTAAAAAGGATACACACTTTTATATTTTTTACGGAAATGTGTAAAATATTTAGATCTGAATACAAATTTTTATATATTTTTTTAATTTTTTTACAATTCAAGATCATTTTTGACCCACACTTTATTTGAAAACATATTTTATAAATATTTTTTTATTTTAGCCCATATTTCTATGAATAAAATAAGATATGAAACGTTGAAATCAGATAAAAACTGACAGAAATAGAATTTTTTTCGTAAAATAAAAAATTTACCAAATCTCTCATTTCTAAAGTAAATTATCAATTTGAATAGTAAAGCTTATATTTGTGTTGCATATCTTAAGTTGATATTTTACTTCAGGAAAGAGAGATTTGGTAAATTTTTGATTTTACGAAAAAAATTCTATTTCTGTCAGTTTTTATCTGATTTCAACGTTTCATATCTTATTTCATTCATAAAGATATGGGCTAAAATAAAAAAATATTTATAAAATATGTTTTATAATAAAGTGTGGGTCAAAAATGATCGTGAATTGTAAAAAAATGAAAAATATATATAAAAATTTGTATTTAGATCTAAGGAAGGGAATCAAGGGAAACTCTTTTCAAAACCGTTGAAAAATATTAATTTTGTCACACCGTGTTATTTCTTGAACAAAAAATAAAAATCAACAAATAAGTTTTATTTTTGAGGAAAAAAAATTTTGCTTGGAAAATAATTATTAAATTTTAACTTATAACAGTTACTGTCTCTGGTTCAAACATACAAACAAACACACATTAATATATATATATATA